CACGTAAGAAAACACCGTTTTTCCTTTCAGTTTGTGCTGCAGATAGCGGCAGAAGCCGGGCTAACACCCAAAACCGTTTCCTGGATGTTACGAAAAGTTGGTGTGTTTGGATGCCGATAACCCCCACCCTACAGACCGTCACGTCCCCGCGGGGCGCCTGCACCACCCGCGTGGCCCGTTCAGCCTCACGGCCGTGTTCTCCCCACTGAGGTCCGTGGTTCTGGTGAGGCTGAGCTGCTGAGCGGAAATTAAGACATTTATACCAGAATTAAAACCATATGAAACTGAATTTCCTGGTGTTTGATGTGTGATTTCTGAGACAACTCTTGCAAGTGTTCTGGCACGCTCCAGGAAAACCGAGGCTACGCGCACTTCACACAACCATTTTAGAGGTGAAATACACAGTTCTGTGTCACAACTCTGGGAGAATCCTGAAAAAAAGGTTGTATTTCAGCAGGCATTGAAATTACATCCACACTCGGTAACAGTATGCCATGATCGCTGTTACCATCTTTCACAGACATTGTTAGGCATTTGAACATGGGCCTGCTTCCCATCAAAAGGACAGAAATTTCCCATTACTACTGTTAATGCTCTTTTTTCTAAAACCTGGATTGAACTTGAACTCAGGGTAGAATAGGACCAGCAGTATCTATAGAAAGATACTAGGTCATTTTGTGTCACTTTGTCACTATTATATAGTCAACTTGATTAAACATTCAAACTCATTTTCAGTTTGCAAGATGATTTTTCATTTTTTTCTAATGAAATCGCATATATGCTGTAAATAAAAAAATCAGCTCTCACTGATCTGCCTTTGAACACAATCAGAAATTATGTCAGTGGCTGTTCAGAACACAGCCACTCAAAATCGGTTAGGCAGCCCAGATAGCACGTCAGGAGTAACAAAAACCTCGGTACTGCCACTACATGGCAATCCAAAAGCTGTTTTTGTGGTTTAACAGGCTCTGTCTCTAGTAGGTGCCATCCTTGCAGATAGGGTAATTTTCACTTCCATAATGACTTCAATCAGACAATCTCAAAGGGTTTTAAAGATCTAAAGTTTGTTAACTCTAAGGCTTGCAGTGATTTACCTTACCATATTACAGCAGATAATGATAAAATCTTTTGTATCATGTATTTCCAACATAGTTAATGGAGAAAAATCAAGTAAAATCATTAGTCAGTCTCCAAATTATGCCTTGCTAGCATATTCATCTTAAAACAAATTATTTGCAAGATAGTACTCCAAATACAGATTCTCTCTTGCCTCTGAAGTATGTGTACTGTTCTGTTGCTACAGTGCGGATTTAAGTATCAGATAGTTACAGAGTTAATAGGAAGGTAAAAATTACTGTTTCTCTTCTTGGCAAAGATGTATTTTTAAATTACCCAGGAACAAGGATGGCGTGAACTTACACAACAGTGTACAAAAGGCATACACTATTACATCTCAAAACTGCAATCCATTTTCTTTCCTCCCTTTGTTCTCAATAACTCCTATTTAAAGTTGATGCTACAACATAATACTAATTCATTTAGTAATCTTACTTAGCACAGATGATTAATTTATGCTAAGATAATGAAACCAAATTTAACCAATGATAATGAAAATAAATCATAACACATTCTGAGAATTTGATAAAAAGCTCAGAAAGCTGAAAAATCTTTATTAATGATTCCTAGAGTTGGCTTCAGTAGAACCTTTTTAAGACTCAAGTCAATGGATTCCTAAATTAAAGCATTTGTGAAGGCTAATCCAGTGTTTTAGATAGGAAGATCTAGAAAATGATCCTATTTTGAGTCACGTGAAAGGAACACTTACAGACCAGAAAAGTCACTGAGAATATAAATTAGAAAATACAGCTCTAAAAAAAAAAATCCCCTCAAGGTAGTAAACAACTTATATTAGGGTCTGTACGGAGGACATATCTGTGAAAGGAAGAAGATGTGAGTATGCTTTTGATGAGTGAAACTCAGTTTTAAAAGACTGGATATCAAATTTCAGCAGCAATGGGCCACGAAAGAGACGACTTCTCCCCCGCAACTCAACTCACAAGCTTATAGCAGAGCTATTGTAAGTCACATGACAAATATGGCTTTAGAAGTGGAGAAAATAACTGAGCAAAAAGAGTTCAACTAATGACTCAGTTACGAAAGAGCAGAAAGAATTCCAATAGTTGCCACCATATTCTGGCAGCTTTTTTCCTGCCCTCAAGTATTGCATGCCAATATCATTCATACTAGACTTCAGGGGTTTTTTGTTTCTTTTTTATTTTGCTTCCTCTCACATCAGCTCAATACTTATTACCAAAAACCATTCATCTTCATTTCTCACCTGACGTCATTCGCCCTCATATAATATTTCTCATCTGAAAATTGTGTTTGTTAACTTTAGCAAAGTCCTCTTCTGGAATGCCATCTAGTGGTTTTATCTCAGAAGAGACCAGCTTCTACCTTTTTCAAGACTGAAAAAGCCTTCAAAACCAACCAATGAAGCAAAATATTTTCCACTTTTTTAATTTTCAAAAATCTAAAAATTTCTGTAATTATCGTAATAATAGTTGAAAAAAACCCCAATGCTACAGAATGCAGTGAAAATAGTTGCTAGAGTAAATACCCTAAGTATACTTACTGTTTTTCTCTTCTACTGTCCTACTTCCCTAATACCTTGATTGTATGAAATATTATATAAAGATGTAATCATTAATATTAATGATGTCACAGGTAAACTTATAGGCCTAATGACTATGAAAAAGCAGCTATGACAAAGTATGTAATGTAGTGCAGTGGCACTCTATCACAAATGTTGAACAAACTGCAGATTTTTGTCATACAGCTATATTCTTATCTTTAAACTTGCAAGAACTTTATTCATGGTACTGAAAAAATGTGAGTAAGGCAAACTCGCGCCGTATCCTTAGATCTAGTTTGGGTATTTTACTTGGGGCTTATAAGCTTAAATCTGTAAACAAAAG